ATCTAAATAACTACTTTTTTTTGGCTTATTTACTACATTAATTTACATCTCTCGCGATGTATTGTTCATACGGCGGCATACAACAACAATTTTTATTTTATTTTAAGTTTTTCTTTGCCGCTTGTTGGAACAGAGAGCCGAACTTGTTGGAACAGAGAGGCGAGAGAAGTGTTGCCGCCGTACTTGTATATACTTGTACATATTACAGTAAGTTACTACATATGCATATAAGTTACAGTAAGTTACTACATATGTATGTAACAGTAAGTTACTGTTACGCAGAACAACTTTGACGATTAGGAGGAAAAACGTTTTGATCAAATTATATATATTTATTATTTACCGATGAAATTATCAAATTGAACAAAAGGAAGAAAGGGAAGAGTTCCAAAGGTAGAAAGGCGAAAAATAGATGAAACAAGACCACAAATTAATGGAAAATCGAAATGAATAGTTCAATGCGTTTTATACATTTCTCGCATTTAATAAATATAAAATCAAACATTGAATTTCTAATTTGTTTCCTCCTATTGATCATGAATTTGTTAACAACTTGTGTGAATTTGATCACAGCTTAAAGTAAGCGTCTATATTTGGTCCATAGGAGGGGGCGGTAGCTGGATGTATGTACAGCAAAACGGTGGATAGATTATCTGCAATAAGCGTAACTCTATGGAGCCTTCAGGACGTCGTTTCTACTTGTAACTCCAAAGCATAAACAACCTTTTATTAAAGTTATGTTTACTGAAGCTAGATATTGTGTTGTGAATATATTTTCTTACTTGCTTTTTTCTTTTTTTTTTGATTTAAAATATTTATTAATAAGGAATCGAATTATTTATTAAGTATTTAAATCAAAATGCATCTTTATTATAGTTTTAACACAAGGATTTTATTTTACGAACAAAATTTTTAATAAAGAAAACTAAATTATAGTAATACGATTGTAACAAAACAAAAGAATACATATAAAAAATTATTGTGTTTGTTTTTTTTCTAATGATAACTGCATTTAATATTTATGATATATAAAGTATTGTAAAATTTCTTTTTAATAAAAATGCAGTTTTTGCATTGGACTTAAGGAAACCTAAATTTGGGCTCTAAAAGTCTTCGCTCTCTTTGATGAATGCTTGGAAAGGCAGATTATTCAAGCTTACCCGCCAACAAACGCTAGATACAATATTCATATACAAAGATTCATTCTTAAAGATAATTTTTTTGTGATTAACTTAAACTCTAAAGGGATTAAAATTTAATTATCTTTATTTAACAAATAAATAAGAAAAATATTCATTGCTCTATGCTTCTAAAGAACTTTTATTAAGTCAAGCTTAACTCTTATACACAATTCGTGCGTGAAAGCAATTTTTCTATTTTCATGGTCTGTATTTGTTTACAATTGAGAATAATTGAAAAAGTCAGTCTGTATTTGTAAACAACCGTCTGTTCCATTGAAAAAACGACTATGAATATGGCCACATCTGAGAGTAAGCGTCTGTATTTTTTTACAATTGAGAATAATTCAAAAATTCAGCTGTTTAACTGGCTGTTGTTATTCTTGTTGGAATTAGAATTTTTCGTGTGCAATTTTTCGACTTTTTTGCCTTTTTCTTTTCGTTTCTTCCTTCTTTCAAGATTTTCAATATTTTATTTCAAGGATAATGTTAAAAAGCCTCAAAAGAAGATGCTTATCGTTTGCTGAGAGAAACTAAATTTATGGAGGGCAAAAAGGAGAAGGAGTGGTATTGGGAGAAGATACAAGAGACCTTACGCAAAATTGGCCTTAAAAAGACTATTATACAATGGAAAAAGGTAGGTTGTTGCTGAAACGGAATATTTGGATTGGTCTCTTTTGGGTCCGAGTCTACTATTTCCTAATCAATATTTTAATTGCGTAGTTCCAGAAATATAGTTACTCTGGTTCACCCTAATTTGGGTTACTCAGGACTTAATGCCTTACTGCCTGCGCGATCTACCTGACATTAGCATGTTGAAAATCGTTTTATATTTACTTTTCTGTTTGGAAATTTGTGCTCATTCACATACAGACTTATTTACCATAACTTAAATCAAGCATTGCGGTCAATCAAGGCACTAGTACGAATACGAACAGCCGTAAGTGGTATTTCTTCAGCTGGGACAAAAACACATTACTCGTTTCCAACGCCGACAATTTAACCTCTGTGGATAATAAAACTTTGGACGATGGAAGTAGAAAAAATGCTACTGTCGTAGCTTCAAACAATAGCTACGGACAAGAAGCAGCTTTAGAGGCGGATGAACCTAACTCAAACGTTCCGCAAATAAATGCACAGAGCCCTCCCACTGCCAAACTTGCAGTAGGGCAGGAAACATTGCAGTTTATATATACATTCTACTTAAATGTAAGAACATTAGGATAGGCGGGAAACTTCTCTGCAGGTACTGTTTATGGATCGAACAAAATCAAGACCAAGTAAACAAAAAAAATAAATAATGAAATAAAGAAATAAACAAATAAAATAAATTAGAATGAGTTGTGAAACACAATCATAAATTTTGTATAATTCTGTCAATATTTTTTATATATATAAATGCCAAGGAGTGTTTCATATTCATCTTGTTTCTATCGCACTACCTATTTTCAGCTTTTAACCGGCGTTTTGCGCTCTCAATTTACTCACGGTTTTAACATTATACTCTTATTTGTATGCACTTATCCAGATGTACGAGCGCATTCACGTCTGCATGGATTAATAATTAATTAATAATTCCATAAGTAGAAACATAAGGTATAAATCATATTCTGCCTAAAAAATAAGAAATCTTATACGAAAATATAGATTTATTAAAAAAAATAAAGTTACGTTAGAAATTAAACATCCTATATATCCTCCAATAATGCAAAGAAATAAAGTTATCGACTTTGGGCGCTAAACACAATTTGCGTGTTTGCGCGACTAAGTAAACTTTTTAAGAGTGTGTCGTGTGGTCGATGAATTTTACGCGGGTATTTTAACTGAATGAGAAGCAAAGCGAACAATCACAAATGTAAAGAGTTTTCCAAATCTTATTTAATTTGTCTTTTTGAACAACTAACACTCTAAATACTATTTTAAATACTCTTTAAAACATGTACATATATATATATATATATTCCAAACATGCTAGTAACAGCTACTATGCCTATGATCGCAGCTTTCCTCTGTAACCTTGTAATAGACCACAAACGTTAGCTGCCAAATTCTCCTATTCTAACATTTTTTTTCTTTTTCTTTCTTTTCTAATTTTTGACAACTTTACGATTGTGTTGTTCTTTATCAACTGCCAATTGGAGAAGATTTTCAAAAACTCTTTGAGAGTAATTAAATGAGCGAGTCTGAAATCCTGCTCAATTCACAAGCATCTGAGAGTAATTAAATGATTCTGCCGGTTATTATATATCTTCAGATATTTGTACATAGCCGTCTCTGTACACGTAAGAGAGTGTTTGGCAGTAGACTATTCGGTATTGAAACAGTATCGTTTGGGTGTTCTGCTGTTACTTGCTCAACAGTCAGAATTTAGTAGAAACAGTAGAAGCAGATATATCTTAGAAGTTAAAAGTTGCGAGATATTTTTGAAAGCGGAATAAAAGCATTGATTGTGAAATTAATAATCAAGTGTTAATAATTTTGTTTTATTAATTTCGGTTTTCTTCTTTTTTTTGAATATGATAAAAAACAAACACCAACACACAAAAAAATACGTTTAAGTAATTTGACGCCCATTTTAAGTAAAAAAGAAATTAATTAAAATCAATTTTTTATCTAAGTTGAATGTGTGGAGTACATAAGTAGGAATTTTTTTTTATTAATTTTGTATCAACCATAAGTGGAGATATTTAAGTATATACATATTTTAAATAGTTAGTTACCTAATATTTATTTTTTGCCTGACAAGCAAAGAAACCGGGATGTTAAAACGTTTCGAAATGGCATTTTCATTCAATCAATCAATCAATTCATTTTTTGCTTTTCAGAACTTTCCCATCGCATGTAAACGTCTAGACACAGTTGATTCATCGTCTACCATCCTTAGACCGTTCCAGTTTAAGCCGAGGCATACCATGTACCAAAGCTTTAATCAAAGACGGCCTATAATCATGAACAATTCGATCTTCAGGTGGTGTAACCAACTTAGGCTTCTCTACCAATCAACGAAATGTAGAAAATACTAACATTTCTTTTATCACTTAACAGCCATTTATTTTTCATGCTTACCGTGAACATTGAGTGTGAAATCATGACTGGTTCATTGCTGACAACTGTCAAATTATAAAATCCACCATCGGTGCAGGTAATAGTTTGAAAAATTAGGCGACATTTTTCGGCATCTACATCAGCAATCACTTCCCAATTATCGTTATTGCATAAATTCTTTTTCTCGGTAATATCTTTACCATTATTGGTTAAGTTGAAAATGTGAGTAGAATTCCCGTTCACTTCCACTTCTATTCTCACTGTTTCGCTGACGTTACACTTGACATCTGCAATCTTCTACATTGTGATTCTTTCCACAAATTAAGTTCCACATTGTGATTGTTTCCACAAATTAAGTTCTACATTGTGATTCTTTCAAATAGTAATATTATGCCTAGTTACACACGATTAAAGCAATTCGAAGAACATTTTTTAAGTTCAACGAGATACAAGAAAAAAAATCGAAAAAAAAGTTCTGTCAGCACTGAAAGCAATTGTAAGTGAGCAAAGAAACTGCTTTTAATTACAACAGTCAGTAACTCTTTAGATATGCATTAGCAAAAGTCACGTAAATAAAGGAGCTAAAGAAAAGATAACATTCGCATTTCATTCACACTTGACACAACACATCATCTCCGTAAACGGCAGCTGGATAATTTTTGTGTTTACCGGTGTTAGTGAAAAAAAAGGAAAAAAAAAAAGAAAGAGATTTTAAATATTTGAAAAAAGGAAAAGAGGTTTCATAAAGTAATAAAATAACCAAAGAAAACAATTTTAAGAAGGAAAAGGAGGGAAGGAGGAGGAATCTCCCGTGAGAGAAAAATTAAGAAGCAATACATATATTCAATTATTACTTTTTGTTTTTTCTTTGAGATTTTTTCTTTTTGTGTTCCCTGTGACAACAACCAAAAACCCATCAGCCCGTCTCCCTATGGAGACTGGGTCTGATCTTATAACTACTAATAGAGACTGTTTTGAAAATTTTTACATGAACGCCACTGGGCACACCAAGAGATCGAAAATGGGTGAGACTAATATTCTTTTATCTGATAACGGAGAAGCTAACGCAAACGTTTTAATTCCGCCTAGTAAACAGGCTACCGACAAGCCCTCTGATTTGGGTGCCACAGCCGCCCCAAATCTCGAGATTAATTTGTACGATTGCCTTTCCAACTGCAATTTTGTCGTTTTTGTCGAAACGTGTGCGGACGCAGAAGGAAATCGCATCAATATTAACTCCAATCTCTATTTCTATGATTACTTGAAGGATTTCGGTATGTACGGCTTGAAAGAATTAAAAGTTGTCAGCAGGGGTAGAGCCAAACTGCTTTTCAGCTCCGCTGCTAATGCCAACACTTTTGTTATGAATAATGAATTTAATAGAAAGAATTTAAAAGCGTACATACCGAGGTCGTTCACTGAGAGATTTGGAGTTATCCGAAACATCCCAAGCACATATAGTGTCGATGATATAATTAAAAACGCCGTATCCGATATCCCGATTAAGTCCGCTGTCCGTTTCCAAAGAAGAAATCCCAACAACAAAGACAAGTGGATTCCCACAACCAGCATCAAAGTTGGCTTCAAAGGGAGAGCCCTCCCTAAAGCAATAAAATTTAACTATTGTAATCTGCCGGTCGAATACTTTGTACCCACTTTAAAGCAGTGCTTTAAGTGTGGCTGATACGGTCACGTATCTAAATTCTACAAAGCTAAAGACAGCAGGTGGCTTAACTGTGGAAAGTCTCCGAAGTGTGTAAATTGTGAGGCGATGAAGTGCTTGTCCTGTGGCTCAGGTGAGCACAACGCTCTCAATAAGTGTTGCCCTAATAGGGAAATTGAATTAAACATCAACAGGATAATGGCGATTAAAAATCTCTCGTATAAAGAGGTCAAAGAGAATTTTTCCGAAAATTATTTCGAATGTCTCGATGACAACACTTATGACGGCAATTTCCCTCCACTGGGGAACACGTCTGCAATTTCGGCCAAGGATGATAATCAAAATGCCAACAAAATCTTAACCAAAAATAAATACAATGCTGTCGTCAAAAGGAAATTGGTTCCCTCCAAATCTCTTATCAAATCACCCACCAAGCGTTCTCCCAATACATCCCCCAAGTCGTCTGGAACAAGCCTTCTTGGACCGAAAATTTCAAACACTATTTGCGGTCTTCAGAACTTGAAAGTTTAATTCTCGCGATTCAAGAAAGTATCCGTCCGATGATCCCTCACAATCTTATTAAAGAATTTGAAGAAAAAAATGTCTGTCTGTGCTATTTCTTGCCCCGTTCGAGCATCCAGTACTGCGAGGAAATCCGCTGGGGTTCTTTCTCAAGTTTCAACATGATAACCTTTTTACAAAATAATATTCAAAGTTTCCGACGTAACCTATCTTTTCTGGATTTTTACTTAAACTCAAACAAGATTGGTTTTTGTATCTTAAGTGAAGTTTTTCTGAAAGATGAAAACTGTTTCGAAGTTAAAGTTTCGAATTATGCCTCAGCCACCAAATGCCGAAATGATGGCTATGGTGGTGTTCGTATATTAGTTAAGAAAGTTGTCAATTTCAGACGTATTCCCTATAACTCTGCCGTTGACATCATCATCATCAAAACCATCAACCTGAAATCCAATCTTTTCATAGCCTCATGCTACTTTCCACCCAGTCTCGATGTGCAAACCTTTCGTGATGGGATTCAGAGATTATGCGACTTTCTTGACGGTGAACAAAATGTGATTCTAGCTGGAGATTTCAATGCAAGACACCGCCTGTATGGCGATCAAGTCTCTACCAACAAAGGCAAAATCCTTGTAAATGCCATCAATTCCAGCAGTTTCAGTGTCTTAAATAACGGCAATACTACCTTTCACTGTAATCGGAGCGGTCGCACGGCGAACAGTGTCTTGGATCTAACTTTCTCGAACTCAACTATTTTATCTTTCAACTGGAACACGTCCAATGTTTCCATTGGCAAAAGTCAGCACTCCCCCATTATATTCCACAGTTGTAACAATTCCGTCAAGAAAATAGAAAATTTCATTTCACGCAACTTCCTTATGGACCGTCTGTCTAAAGTTGATCTTCCTTCTGATTTATCATCAATTCGAAGTGACTTTCAGTATGTGATCATGTCTGCTAGAACCCTGACATTGAGTCCTTCTCACCTAAACCTTGGTGGAATCCATCCCTGTCAACACTTTTCCGCAAATACCAAGCTGCAAGAAAAAAAAATGAGTAAATACGCCAATCCAGCCAACTACATTGAATATATGAAAATACTGAAAGAATCGAGGTCTGCAGTTAGAAAGGCGAAAAGGGCACATAGAGCCATCGCTATTAAAGAGTTATGTGGTAACGGCGACCCTCGTTCCTTCTGGAATTATATCAATGGTCATCGACATTCTAGTCGAAAATTAAGCGGTTGTGCTGTATGGAATGATCGTGATAATAAAAAATACTTAGATATGCTCAAGAGCTACATTCCAATTGTTAATCCTA